GACCCCGCTCCCCCCCCCCCTCCCTGCGCAGAGCCGGGCGGCCGCACCTCGGGGTGCCCTCGCCCCGCACAGCCCGCTCCCACACCGGCTGGGGGTTGCACAAGTTCCTCCCATCCCGGAAAGTTACATTTGTGGATTTAACAAACTTTGGACTCTCTGGCCCGGGTTTATCGGAGATTTTGGGAACACGAAGAACTTTTGCTTTCAATCCCCTGCAGCACAGGGATGGCTTAAAGGTGACTTTCATCACGGCAACTCCTTTTCTTCTCAATTTCTTCATCCTCTTTGTAAACCCAGACATGGGCTGGTGTGCTCGGAGTTTCCTCCGGAGTTTATCACCTCCTGCGCCGCCCGGCTGCTCAGCGCTTTTCTGGCTGGGTGGCACTTCAGGTTGTCTTCCTGCCCAAGGTGTCTCCTGGACTATAAATTATAACCTTGCTTTATATTGCAACCCTGCTTTTAAGTATAATTAAAGTCATGGGGTGCTGCATAAACAAATTTGAGGGGGGAGGCTGAATTGGGGACACTGTTCTCCTGCACTGGTGTCCGTGACCTCCTGCAGGTAATAACCCCTTGAGTCCCACCCTCCATCCCCTACCTGCCGTGCTCCGCTCTCGCCCCGCCAAGGAGAAAATCACTTGTATTGTTCAAATGCCTCTGTCACAGGGCTGGGTGAATGCGGTTGTGCAACCCAAAGGGCTTTTCAGTGTTTATCCCTGTTCAGCCAGAAAATATCTTGATTGAGCTTCCCACTCTCTCGATTTGCATCAGCCTAACGTCAGCTCCTGGTTTGGGGTTTTGCTGTGTCCCTTCCCCGCTGGAGCATCTACTCCCCCCCGCCTTCCCAGCTTTCCTGAGCTCGTCCCCTTGATACCAGAGGCATTTGGCCCATGGGCGCGACGTGGCCCCGCCGGAGCATCCCTCCCTCCCCCCTGAGCCCTTCCCCAGGGCAGCCCGGCGCAGGCTGGAGAGCAAGGGAAATATTTCTGTGGTTGCATCAGGGTGTTCCTGGCTCCCGCCTTTTCCGCGGATGGCGGATGCTGGGAGCTCGTGCACCGCTGGGGCTTCCCCAGCTGCTCTCAACGCCCTGCCTTCAGCTCTCTGGCCTCCCTGGACTTTTCCCACGGGGGCTCCTCCAGGGCAAAACCCCGAGGAACCGCTTTCGTGCGTGCTCACAGGTGACATTTGCTGCGTTGTGCTCGGGGTTCATGGTGCGCTGAGCCCCGCGGCAGCCTGGGTGTCCCCAGCTTCCTTCATTGCGTCCTCTGCTCATGGAGCTGCTGGGGATGGCACCGTCCCCAGCAAGATGTGTCCTCCCGGGGGGCCTGATCCTGCACAAAACCGCTGGAAAGCCCTACCAAGGGCATATCACCCTGCCCTGGGGAGATGCTTGGGTGGAGGCAAGTGGTGGAGTCCAACATGGCGAGGGAGGAGGAGGGGTGACGGTCATGAAGGTGACCCAGCTGGGTGCAAGGGAGGCTCAGCCCTGCGTTGGTGGCTGGTGACCTCTTTTTCCTCCAAGATGCAATCCCAGGGGCTCCTGACATGCTCCTGGCTGGCAAGGGCATCGCTGGGGTTTGCGCACACAGGTGTCTGCCCTGTGTCCGAGCTGGGTCCCCGCGTGTTCCCATGCCCAACCTGTGCACCAAGCCACCCTTAAACCCTTCTGGGTCATGGCAGAGTGACATTTCCCTTGGGGAATCATTTGCATCAACTTCTAGTTAAGTGAAGCAAACAATTAAACAAAAGGAAAAGCTTTTACACCCCCAAACGCCTGCTCATTCTTCCCTGCCGGTCTTTGTTCACTGCGCTGTGCCGGGGCGAGCCGGGACAGGCCCTGGCCGAGGGCGCTGTGAGGGCTGTGCGGTGCTGGTGCCTCAGGCAGTGCCTCCACCGCCATCCTGGGGGTGGTGACAAGCTTGTTCCTATCCTGGTAACAGGATTGACATGATTTTTTCCTTGTGCGGTGTCCAACACAGTAAGTTTTGGGAGGGCTCGCATGTGTTCGGCAGTCTTACCTGCAGTGCGGGAGGCGGGCAGGATTCATTTTGGGCTGGAATTGGAGCTTTCCTGGATTCCTGTCATCTGGGGGATGCTGGAGCAATGGTGTCCTCACAGCCCTGGGCTCGGTCCTTACTGGGCTGAATCCAGCCGTGACTGTCTGAGAATGACATTCCTGAAGGCAGGAGCTCAGCAGCTGGAGCCCTTGTCCCCAGTGGGGATAGGTGGTGTCCCCAGGAGGGGAGCAGGCACGGCCTCCCCAGCCAGATCCGTCCTCCTGGAGGACGCCAGTGCCGATGCAGCTGCATTTTGCAGAAATGGGATGGTTTGGGTGAGATGCTGGAAGACTTTGCTGCGATGGGGAGGGAAAGAATGGGCTCAGAAATGCCCTGACGGGCTCTAGTGCTGCCCTTCGTGGTGTCCAGCTCCCAAAAAACTCCCTTTTGCTATGTCTCATTAGCTACAAGCGATCTTGAACCTGCTTGAAATACTAATGGCTGTTAATGAGGCAAGGCAGGCTCTGGGCTCGTCTCCGCCTGGCAATGCATCGGGAGAGCTGGGTGCTGCTGCAGGAGCACCTCCTGGGCGCCTCTCCCTGCCCCGGTGCCAGTTTTGGGGAGCTTGCAGGTGGCACTGGGATTTGGGGGAGAAGGGGAAAAGGGGAATGGGAAAGGAGATTGGGAGACAGCCAAACCCCTTGCAATCATACCTCTTTTTAACACTGTTAAGAACTGTATTTGTAGAGTAATTCCTGTTGGCAAGGACCTGTGGAGGTCTCTGGTCCACTCCCCCACTTAACTTTGAGGCTACAGCAGGCTGTGCAGAGCCTCAGCCAGGTGCAATTCGAAGCTCTCCAAGGATGGAGATCCCACCACCTCCCCAGGCCCATGTGTCAGCACCCTACACGAAGAATTACTGTCTTTATACCCAGATAGGATTTCTCCCCTTACTTGTTGCCTCTCATCCTTTTGCTGTGCATCTCCTTCTCTCTCTAACTGCCTGAGTCCCATCAGGGCCATGAGTAGCTCCTTCAGCTTCAAACTCTTCCCCATTTGGCTGGATGACATTGGCAGGTGTGTGGTTTTTTGGAAGCGGAGCCATCGACGCCCTCAGCATAGTGACGATGGCTTTGCAGGGTGCGAAACGTGTTCACGTTGCTTCTGGCTTGCTCCACCTGCAGCCCACCTGAGCTGGGCAGCACCAGCCAGGGCTACCTCTGCCTCAATTAACGGGGGGGGGGAGAAAACCACCTCATTTTTGTTGAGGTATAAATTCAAGTTGCCTCAAAATCCTCAAGTTTCCTCTGAAACTTCAGCCCAAAACTGCGAATCAATTGGGAAAATTAAAATCAATCCTTGTGGAAATAAGAAGCTCCCGTGCACGTTCTCGGGAGAAGTTAGATGTCCAAAAAAATCAAGTTCGATAGTTGTAAATGCACTTGGGGAGGGAACGAGCATGTCTGGAGGTACTCGGCGTGGTCTCCTGGGCTTCAGGTGGGTGGGCTTTGTAACTGCAGTTGGTGGCAACCTGGATTATGTCGTCTGCGGTGGAGCTGGGACCTTTCAGCATGGGCAGCTGTATTCTGGCTGGTCGGGAGCTGATGGGTACGCTTGCTCGTCTAGGTAGCCAGGAAGGATCAGCCCTTGGTAAAGTCCTGCTCCGCTGCGTTTTCCAGCATCCCCATTGCTGTGGCCACGGGGCTGTGGCCTCGCTGGTGGGGTACGCAGGAGAAAACCCAACTCTCTTGGGCGTCTCCCATCCCCAGGGGTGGCATTGTGGAGCCCTCACTGAGCTGACTGACCTCAAGGAGGAGAACAAATACTTCTCCATTAAAAAAAAAGGCATTTTAAAATTTTTCTCCTTAGAATACCTTAGGTGGAAGGGGGCCTCTGGAGGCCACCGGGTCCAACCTCTGCTCAGAGCGGGGCTGGCTTTCAAGGTAGCCCCAACATGAGAAGGTTTTCCTTATTTTTCCTTCCATAAATCCCAGGAGGATAAAGAACCTGGGGCACAGGGTGCTTTTCCTGCTGCTCTGGCCACGTATCCCCAGGGCCTGGGATGGGGTCATCTCCCTCCCTGTCCTCTTGCTGATTTGCATCACGTGGTAATTTTGCATTTATTTCCGAAAAGCCCCGTGCCCGCTCCGGTGGGGAACAGAAGCGCTTCTTCAGCTGATGCTTGTTTATAGAGCGTGATCCTGTTACGACTTTGAGCCAGAGGGACCGGAGATGAGAATAAACTGAATATTATAAACCTGCAAACTGCAGGCTGAGCCGGCGGATGTGGAGCTGAACCACCCGGGCTGCGGGATCGGGATTTCCAGGCAGAGTGAGCAAGAGGCAGGGTGGCCTCGTGCAAGGTTTCCCTAAAATATGGGGAGGTTGGAGCATCCTCCTTCCCTTTCCTAGGTATGAGTGTGTTTGAGGAATGGGTTTTAAAAGCCAAATGCAGGTTGCAATGAGCAACTGCTTTGCATGTAGATGTTAAAAAAAATGCACAGCTATGCTGTAATGCAAAGAAAAGGGGGGGGCGAGGGAGGGTTTAAATGAACTTGAGTGGAAACAAATTACAAAAATCACACTAACGGCAGTAAAGTCGGTGAAATGACATTCTGGCATAAAAGGCAGAACAAAACTAGTTAAATATTTAATGCTCATAAGAGGCACTGGCACATCTCAGTGTATTAAGTGTGATAAAGATGTAAGTAGTTGTCATCATCTGCTTCAGCATCTGGTCCGGACAAGCCTGTTTGCTCCCCCCTGTCCCATTGCAGCCAGCCCTGGTCTGGCCTCGGGGACGTCACCCTGGCCCCTGGGTCACACGTGGCCTCAGGGATGTCACCCCAGCTCCTGGGTCGCAGATGGGGCTCCCTGGCTCCCTGCAGCATCCAGCAACTGGCCATGGGACAGTTTTTCTGGGGAAAGAAAACCAACCTCAGGGAAAAGGGAATTTATAGCAGAGACCCAATTTGTACCAAAATTGTGTGACCTGGGAGCCGCATGCCAGTGAGTGCAGCTTTTGGGTCATTCCCATCCCTGCGGCTATGAATCCCTGTGGGATTCTCGTCACGAGGTGCCTGGCCAAGATCGCCTAGCTCGTTGTGTAGCCCCGGGACTTTATCCGTGCTTTTGGGATGGAAAAAGAGGAGTTGTGGCATCTCCAGCTGCTGGGATGAGAGGGCTGGAGGCAGCGCAGCCACCCTGGGGCTTGGCAGGGTGGCGTGGCTGGCACGGTGTTTTCCCACAAATGCGGGACATTTCAGCTCCGTGCAAGAAAAAAAAAGGGCAAAAACTTGTAAAAGAGGAGCATGGGGCTTCCCCGAGCTGAAGGGAGCCAGTGGGGCTGCCTCTCCCAGCTCACCTTCACTCCCAGGCTGCACTTACTGCTGGGGAGGGACTCTAGGCTGGGGCATGTATTATACATCCCTTGGGAAGGATGGTTGGTTTGCTTGGAGAGATTTTTTTTTTTGACTCCTCCTGCTGCCGTCCTTGACTCCAGGCTAAGCGCATTTATATCCCGTGCTTCCCAGGAGCATCCCAGGGCTAGCAGGGATTGCATTCACCTCTCCTTATGGGGCTGTTCTTGCTGCCGGGGCGGAGCCGGAGCGTCGGGTGGGGAAAGGCAGTGCGATGACACACAGCTCTCCTGGCTCCACCACAGCTGCTGAGCTCATCTTTAGCTCATTATTTCTGCTTGGGAGCTGATGGAAGGCAGTTTGCAAAGATGCATTTAATGGGTGAAAATTCATAGAAATGTTTTCCGGGCTCTGTTGTGCCAGTGCAGCGTCCGGCCACCAGCTCTGTTTGCCACGGTGGTGGCACCAGGTTTAGTGCCAGCATCCTGCATCCCCTCCCTGAAGCCCGGCTTTGCCAGGGATCTTTGTGTGAGCAAGGGATTTGTGGTGCGGGGCACAGCTGCACCGATGCACAAAGGGATGCTGCCGGCACTGAAATGGGGGGCAACCACAGGAAAACCTGATTTTTTTTAAAAAAAGCCTCTCTTTTTGCAGATCGGGAGCTTGGAAAACTACTACCACTTTCACCACAGCAAGACGTTTAAGCGCTCAACACTGAGCAGTCGGGGACCACACAACTTCCTCCGCATGGACCCCAAGGTACAGGGCCGGGCAGCCCGGGGTCCCTCAGCCTCTGTGGGGGCTGGTGGGATGGGGGTCCCTGCTTCCCCCGGAGGAGCCTGTTGGCTTGGTCTGGGTCAAGCATGAGCCCAAGCATCTTGTGATGACATGTTATCCTTGAACCGCAGCCCTGTGCATGCACAGGGTGACTCATTGGACATGGGTACGTCGATCGGTGATGAAAAATACTTAGAAGTGACTAAACGCTAACATCTGCCTGAAAGCCAGGAGGAAGAAAAGGGGGAAAAAAGCCTTCCAGGATAGAAAGGCTGTTGCATGCTTGGGGTGTTGATCCAGTTGCCACAACACTTGCTGCCTCAATGGTTGCTATGTGTGAAATCCTTGGCAATAGCTCTGCATTGCTTTTTCCTAGAGCAAGCATCCGAAGGGATTTTCAGTACAGCTGAATTGACAAAAGTAATGGCGGGGGGGGGGAAGGCAAGGAGGGACAGGCGGGACCTGGGTGAGCTGGGCTCGGGGTGGCAGGGAAGGGCTGCAGCTCTGCCTCGACTTTCCTCCTCCCTAAGCTCCACACGGCGCCTGAGCCCTGCGAGATGCTACTTCTGCAGAGCAGGGGAAGGGTTAATGTGTGTTCGGGGAAAGGGTGAAATAAATGCAGAAAAAAACATTGCAATGAACGCACCCATGCTACAGTGAGCTGCTGGTGCTTGCACTGATGCCTGGCCACCCTTGGGATGCTCCGGCCACCCTTGGGATGCTCCCAACTCCCAAGACATTTCCAACCCACCCAGCACAGCACATCCCATCCACATCTCTCCAGACCCACACAGCAACCCTGCTTTCCCCAGGCAGCCAGCTTTCCAGAGAGATTTGCTGTTAAATATTTGGACAGGGTCTGTAGCACATTTCTGAGGAGGCACACGCATGGCTGCTACGAAGCAGCGGCGTTGCTGGCAGGGGAAACCTCAGCGAGGGGAGCATGGGTGCGCTGGAAGTGCGCTGGGCTCTTAGGGATGTGCACAGGCATCCCAGCAAATGATTAATTCAGCTCTGCAATTGAAACACCTCCATTTAAATGAGTCTAGTTAGAATGCAAACCAAATCAATTGGCTTTTAGTCTTCTTAACATTTACCTTACCTTGCTCTATGGACTGCAAGCTACAGCAATTAGCTCCCGTTCTCTTAATCCTTTGTTACCACTCAGAGTTCAAGACCTCTTGGCATGTGTTGTCTCTCCCCCTCTCTCATGCACATTTGCAAATCGTTTTGGGTAAGTCTCAGCATTTGGACGGCACTGGCTTAACATGTGCGATGCAGGAAAACATCACTGTGATGCATGAGGAAATGCAAGCTGGAATAGTGAAGATGGAAACAAATCTTGCAGAAATCCCAAAGGACCAGCATATTCAATCATTTGCAGATGTTGGGTGGTTCGTGCCTTCCAGGGTCTATTGTTTCCAGTGCCATTATTTATCAGTTTGTTCTGCCGCGGGGGTCGGTAGCACGAGGGCTGGGCATCACCTGGGGTCCTGGTCCCTGTGGGACCACGCTGCTGCCGAGCTCCCCTCTTGCCCCAAGAGACCCCCGCGGCCAGCAGCTGCTCCATTCGGGGCTGATATGAGCCAAGTGACATGGCAGGTGATTGAAGGGGAGGAGAGATGAGCAAATCCAGCAATTTTGGCAGCAGGTCGTGGTGGCGAGAGTAAGAGGCGTGGAGGTGCAATGGGGTGCAGAGCGGGGTCATGCCATGCTGTGCCGCCCCTCGTATGGGCTCATCTTGCAACTCTCATTGCCGTAAACTTTCCCAGCTCGCTGGGATGCTCCTGTTGGTCTTCGCAGTGCTTGAGCGTTCAACCTCACTGCTCTGGTCTCTTACTCCTCATCAGAGGATATCACGGCCTCAGTCCCTGTGCCGCTGGCCATGTACCATAGCAAAATCAACCCCACCTAAATTATTTCTGCCATGCTTTATGGCAAATATGTGCTGGAGCCATCTGGTTTGTCCTGGATCTCTGCTTTAATTCCTGCACATCCACTGGAATAAGTCAAGCTATTGCTTTTCTGGAGCTGTAAAGGGAGTTTCATCCTCGCCTATACTGGTTACCGTGTTTGGTGGAGCTACCCTGGGTGGCTGGATCCAGGCATCACCCACTGAAAACCTCAAAGTAAGGGGGAATATAAAAAGCTGCCCCTCTGTTTCCAGCAAGGGTGAAGGGTTCGGCTCAGTGGTACCTGTGCCTCCTCGCAGGGTCTTTTGGTGCCATTCACGGTCGCCTCGTTATTGCTAATTAGGATTTGCAAGGGTAGAGCAGGGACGCTCCGGGCTCAGGACTGTGTTGTAACAGTTTTGGCCATTTCTACTAGTAAAAAGACTCTTTTTTTTTTTTTTTTTAATTTCCGAGAAGCTTCTCCCCCCTAAATGAGTGATGGAAGTCGATCCGAGTTTCACAAGCCGCGGGAGCCGTTGCAGGGATGCCCCGGGCTCCTTCCTGCTCGCCCGTTGTCTTCCCACGCCAGCCACATCAATTCTGGCAATTTAGCAAACCCCCCTTGAAATCAATGCCGTTAAACTGCTGATTTCTCTGTGTCCACACAAGACTTCTCCATCGACTCCCGGCTGGCAGCGCTGGGGTCGATCAGGAGTGTGTTGAAGATGAAGACATCCCCGCGAGGCACCGCAGCTCCCGGCAAAACCCCGCGAAATCCCACATCTTCCCATTGTTCCTGCATCCAGCAATGCCGCAGGGAAAGGCGATAGCTGTGACTCGGGCAGTGAGACCCATGGTAACGCTGCTAAGGAGTGCTGCTTTAAGGAGAAAAGCTGGGTATTCGGGCCGTATCTTCTATTTAATGTATTTATTTTTTTTTAACTAGACCGTGAAGTTGTATTTTTGCTTCCAATGCTTAAATCCATCATCATATAAGCAAAGCAGCATGCTGTCATCAGCCAAGGCAGCATGGAAACTCATTTTTCTATGAAATATATTTTTTTTTCCTTTCAACAGTTTGGGTTTTTTTTAAATATATATGTTTAAAAACCAAGCTCTAGGCTGGAAACTGTCAGGTTTCTGATATGCACAGTTCCCCATCCACCTCCATCCAAGTCAGAAAGCTATAAACCATGCAAGAAGAACTCGGTTCAGCCGACAGTTTCACATAAATGAGCCCAACAAAAACTTGCATTTTGGATTTTTATTCTTTTCATTACAAAACCTTAGTCACAAGAACAGAGACATCCCCACGAGCAGCTCTGCTGTTCCCAAAAGACCCCGAGCCGTCGGGAAGAAAGCGTCCGGCAAGGAGGGATGTGCTGCAGAGCCCTCCCAGCTCCTCGGCTGGTGCCTCCCTTCTCCCCCCAGCATAAGCACGTGTAAAGATTTGGTCTATAAATTATTTTTACAACCTATTTTCAATAAACCTGGGTTTCATCTCCATGCTAAAGACAGGAGAGCCCTTTTTGTGGGCAATAAAGGGTCTGGGGGGGGAACACTTGCCAGGGACGGGATGCGGCTGCTCCCAAACCGGCACCTTAGGCAGCTCCTGCTGCAGTGGCGTGGGCAAACATCAGTGTTTCCCAATCCCGGCCTTTTCCGGCTCATTTTCCGTTTGATCTCTTCACGTGTCATGCCCCACTGAAAAGCAAACAAATGTCAGAGCGGTCGGCCCCAAGGCCGCCTTGCCTGCAGCCGGTGCCAAAAACGCCTCTCCAGAGCCGGCCACATCCCCCGAGACCTGCCATGGCCATGTGTGGTCGTCCCGTATTTTTGAGAAACACATGTTGTGCTTGGGTGAAGCCCCCAATATTATTTTATCAGGAGGAGAAGAGCTCGAAGGATGAGCAGCCCTGGAGCTGGGTGGTGAAGTCTCGGGGCTGAGTTGCGGCTGCTGCCTCCTCGCCAGGGGAATGATCAGCCCCAAAATTAAGCCAAGCACCTGAGTCTTCTCCAACACTTTGACTAAATGCTTAAATATGTGGTTCGTCTCCAGAGGGCTTCAGCGCATGCTTCAGCGCTTCGTTAAGCTGGGGGGGTTTAGGCACGTGCTTGGAGGTGACGTTGTTTATGCTCAAGGGTTTTGCTGCACCGGGAGAGGAATCTGGTCCCTGGATCAAAGACCACAAAGAGCTGAGCTTGCCCCATCCGTCTGTTCATCCACCCTTTATTCCCCCAAAATGAAGCCACTATCTCCGCAGCAGCCCTGACAAAGGAGCCAGGGGTGTTTGCTGATGCGTGGGGTGACGCTGGGATGGGTCCAGGCTGCAGTTCGCACCGCTTCCACATCCCACGTCCCATTTTAGTGGGTGATGCCGGGCTCTGTGCCCATGGGTGATGCCGGGCTCTGTGCCTGTGGGTGATGCCAGGCTCTGTGCCCATGGGCGATGCTGGGCTCTATGCCCACGGGTGATGATGGGCTCTGTGCCCATGGGTGATGCTGGGCTCTGTGCCTGTGGGTGATGCCGGGCTCTGTGCCCATGGGTGATGCCGGGCTCTGTGCCTGTGGGTGATGCCAGGCTCTGTGCCCATGGGCGATGCCGGGCTCTGTGCCCATGGGTGATG